TGTGTATTGGCAAAGAGATTTATGGTTCATATTACCTAATCGATGCTGCAAGAGCAGCATACAATGAGACACGAAATGCAGAGCCCTGTGATAACCAAGAACAATAGCTCAACCACTGGTTAACTCATTTCGTGTGTTTCTGCGTCAGTTTTCTTATCTGTACAAGAAAGGAAACAAAGTTCATCTATCTCTGCAAAGCACTTGGAGATATTTTGATAAACTCTGTTATTCAAACACAGCATTTTCCAAGGTCAGTCTTCTCTGCACAGCTAAAGCATACTTAAATAAACTGATCTTCAACTTCTCCTTCTTTGGATTTGCAAATATAATTACCAGACATTTTGGCCCAGCATCCATTTACTTAGGGAAGATTTAGCCAGCTCATTAGCACACGGGCAGGAGCCCCAGGCTCAGGAGGGACCCTCCAAAGTCCTGCTTCCAAACCTGCCAAGGGCCAGGTGTGACTTGCAGATAATGAGCTCGGCCTTGGGAAAAGCAGGCAGTGTGCCAGCCAAACCCCGCTGCACAAGGCCACAGCAGACTCTGTGAACACTGCCACCTCTCATCATGTCACATTCTCAGCCCAGAGAGCGCTTTAATGTTCTTTGCAAGCTATAAAGAATAAATGAATTGAGCTGTAAATGAACAAAATCCAGTTTCCTAGCTAAGCAATTCGTGGAGAGTATTAATGTATTTATTATTTTTTTTTAAAGACAGTAAGAGCAATCCAGCACATGGACAGGAATCATACCTCTGGTCAGTCAAATGTTTATGAATAGTACTGAAGTACAAGTAGCATATCTTAAAATAACCGCAGACTAGTCTGAGAATTGTTCAGAAGTAGGAAATAGAAAAATAAGTATGTTTTGACTGCCCATCTTCAAAAGGCAGACTACTGTGCCGAGGAAAAGGGAGCATGCAGGGGAGCTGCATTCATCACCTGGCATCTCATACTGACAAAAATAAAATAGAAATCTCTACACCTGGTCGTTCCACAATTCTCTGAGCACTTAAAAGCACACACTGGTATGCAGTATCAGACTGCTCATGTCAATATATCTTGCCTAAATACACTATAGAACATTTATATTTCACTGTTTTACTATTAAAAAACAATAAACTGCAAGTGTCATAATAAATCAAAGTACCTTTTTGCATTACCCACACTTCTTAACACTTTTTTGTAATGCATCTTCCAGCTATGAACACATGCAAATAAAACCTTAACAGGATGTGTACATTTTATCTTATCTATCAAAGACCACATGGGGGAAAAAAATACCACCTTAGTGTCTAGACACTAGTCTTTGAACTTGACTAGCCTGAGAACACTGTCATTCTACTCCACTTAATGGCATATTGATTTTTTATACTTCACTCTCTGCAGATCAATATTCTAATAGACGCACAATAGACTGGCAGGAGGATAGAGAGTACATGTTCACTAGCCTGATGGAGATGATTATCCAGAAATGAAGGTCAAATCAAAGGAAAATTTAAACCTGACATGAGAAGAGCAGCACAAAGAAAAGAGTCTGTACACAAAGTAACTTTTTTAAAAAATATCTAAGATTAACTAGAGAAGGAAAAAGGCACAACCTAAAGAAAGCATGGATAAGGCAGCCAACAAACTCTCAACCTGGGAAAGACAGACTGAAGTCCCTTTGGACTGTCTGCGCTCAATGCTACAATTTAAGAAGCACTTTAGGTCTCCTGCAGGAAACTTCTCCAGTATATCACACAGAAGATGTACTTCCTTTCAGCAAGTAGCAAGTTTAAATATTCGAGAACTATCTGAATAGCTTGTTCAGAACAAAGTCAGACAGAAACCATGTGCAATATAAAATGAAAGACATAAAAGGAATATCTTATTCTTCCAGAGAGCTGTTCTACAGGAAACTAGGAAGTCAAATGGAGCCTTCAAAAAGGCTTTTTTAGCAAAAGGCCTTCTTCTGATCATCTTGCTGGTGCAGGCAGTAAACAGTTTTTTATACAATGGAATTTAGAGTTCAAGTGGCTGTCCTGCACAGACTGTTAACTTGCTGGCATAACTAAAGGAATACCTGAGACAGAAAAAATCCAGTGGTCCAGACAAACAGATGACCAGTCCAAGAGTATTCCTGGGGCAGAGCATCCCCATAGACCAGCGCACCAGGAACTGCCCAAGTGGCAATCCCACTGAAAACCACCCCAGGGGCTACAACGGAGCAGAGCTGCAGATAAACCTAAAATGCCTTCTCTTTGCCAATAAGGCAAACCTCACGCCTGGCTCCACAAGGAGGAACACAGATCCAGGGAAGTTACTAATGCTCTCTACTTGGCAGGATGAGGTAGCAATGCAAGCTGTGGCCTTTTGTGGGTCCTTCAGCTCAAAAGATACACTGAAAAACTGGAGGTGATCCAGCAAAGGGCTATCAGGATGGCCAGGAGTCTAAGCGTATGACCAGTAAGAAAAGTCTGAAGGACATATGCTTGCATATTCCAGCAAGGAGGACACCATGGGGTAATCTGAAAGAATGTTAGGAGAAGCAGTTACAAAGATAACAGAATCAAACTCCTCTTAGTAGTGATAAATAAGGTAGAAAAGCAAAAAAAACTGCAGCTAGGGAAGTTGAGGTTTGACATTTTGATAAAACTCTCACTAGGACACCAGTACAGCCCTGAAACTGGTACTCAGAGAGGTGTGAAATCTCAGGCACTGAGAGTTTTCCAAAAGTCAGCTCAAGAAAGCCACAGCTGACCTGACTGAGTATTGGCAATGCTCCCAATTGAAGAAAGGGTTGCACCAGATCACTAGAGTTCCCTCACAACCAACAGTGCTGATGATGACACTATGAATACAGGAAATCACTGTAATATGTATTAATCACTTGAGACTTCTTGGCTTCTGCCACACTGACATTAGAAAGAAATTTCTTAGAACTTGATTCCAGGGCCTTCTGTCTACCAGAAAAGACATGAAGCTTTAGATCCAACTTCTTCTGCACTAAGATTGTGCCTAGTTTTCTGAGCAGTTTCCTTACTCGCAGTCTAATGAGTCACAGGTTCACACACCCCCCAGAGCTCCATCACCTTGTTACAACATACAGTATCAGCCATAAAAATTCAGTGAAGAGACATGAAGACAGGTCTCAAATGAACTCACTGTCCCAGGCACTGTTAATCTTCCCAGCTCCTATTATAAGATGGATATTAAGAAATCTGAAAAACTACAGATAAGAGTCATCAAAATTATTCAAGAGCAGAAAGTATTATTCATACAGGGAGAAAAAGCATCAGCTAAATGCATGCAACGTATCAAATAAAAAGGATTCATGCAGTCTTATGCTAGAGACAGCATAGTGTGTTCCAAAAAATGTTCAGAGCTGGACCAGGTACCTTAGTTCAGCATCACAAAGTTCACATACAGTTCACTCTTTCAGTCCATCTTAAGCTTTCTTTCAGCAACAATATTACATAACAAATTAAAATGAGCTTTCGTTATTTTTTCACCCAGTCTGGACATCTTAACAGCTCAACTCATTTATAGTTCAATACAATAGAAGCCCTGAGTAGGAAAAGGAGGAGGAGGAGAACACTGGATTTTCCATGACCTTTTGCTGATTTCCAAAACCCCATCTCCTGTACATGTAAGCAATCTGGTTTTTTTACTACAGAGTAATGACTCATTACTTCTGTCATTTAAAAATGGAAAAGAATTCCATCTGGCACCAAGGATTAGCAGCCAAATTACGTGTGTCTTGATCTAAAGGTCGATTTGGTAATAACAGAAAGCCCTAAACTACAAAACCAAAGCGTATTTTAGCATCTGCTATCACTCAATATTTGAGTATCTATCTCATAAAACTGATTTACTGCCTTCCCCACAATGAGAAGTGCTCACAGGATAAAAGCATCAACCCCAAGAAGGCCGGGCTCAGAGGCAATCACGGGAAGCAGCTGTACTACTGCTTGGGAAGACAAACCAAGGGTGACAGGCTGTGCATATTTAAAGACTTCCACTGTTTTTATTCCACTCAGTTACAAAGCACTGATGCTACAGGTGCATGTCCCTTATATTCACAGCAGCATACACCACTCCACGGTTTACACTGATCAAAGTCTTCCCCAAAATTAAATTGGCCAGATACTAGGAGGCACTGACCTCCCAGTGTGCCTCTCCCATACCTTCCCTTCTCTTACAGCCCAAGTGCAATCCTGAACAACTTAATTCATTATTTTCCTATCAATTCTGCTATCCCCCTTAACTGTCCAACCCACAAGCACAGACATCACCATTCAATCGCACCTGTACCTCTCCTGGGGTTGCTCAGCTCCTTGTTACAGGTAGGAGGAAGGAGACACAATAGGTGAAGATTCTTTCCATTTCCTGGATGTTGCAGAAAGAAAAATCAGAAAAGTCATGTCAGTAACCACTGCAGGGAAAGAGACGCAAATATCATCTTGCTGGAAGGATACAGAGCATGCTCCAGGGATTTCTATCTCCTAAATCTGAGGAGCTCGTTTCTGGGTGTGATAATTGATTTCAAAAGGAAAAAACATGGTTCACACAAACAGAAAAAGAAGGTGAAAAGATGGTAAGAGCTTCCTCAACCTTAGGCCTCAAGACAACTGACCTGAGAGGCAAATACAAAAGCTAGCAAAACTATCAACATCCAAAGAACACCAAGTCTAACTCCTCTTTTCTAGCCACAGCAGTTTGCTGTTCACAGAGAAAAGGCCAGACCAATAGACTGCTCTACTCTTACCGTGCCACATAGAAGCAATTTTGTCATGATTACTTTAGAAAAACATAAATAGTATGGGCAAGGTCTCCCAGATCAAGCCAGAGTTTGGTTCCATGCATCTGTATCTCACTTCAGTCGGAAAACTAATTTGACTGAATTATCCCCTGACAAAGTAGCCAAGGGGAAGATTCAGGCCTTGCTCTGCATTCCTGTAGGTACAAACCTGCCAAATCTTTTTCCATCCCCAAACAGTAGGAGGCTGCTATTTCCACCGCCAAGTTATAGCTGGCCAAATTGCTAGGCCTCTTAAAATCTGAACACAAGACTTTACACCCACATTACAGAACACATTAAGTCGCTTAGAAATAAAAATATAAAAGGTTTAATTAAAAATGTAAACCAGCCAGGAAGAATTTAAAAACCAAACCCCAAACCCCCCTAACTTTAATACCTTCAAAATAAGCAAGGGCTTATAGTCCCATGAAGAATTAGAATACCTCATAGCTTGTAATTAACATTTGAAGTTACTCTGAGTGCTTTCACACACATCACAGAAAACCACACCGGTTTCTGGAAGAGCAGCCGTGTTGCAGGGAGCAACCCACGGTGACAGCCACCCCACCGTCCCCCAGGCCCTGGCCAAGGGCCGCCTCCTCCCGCGGGCGCGGGGCGAGG